TCTAGCAGTATGTCTGCGAACGAGAGACACTTTGCCCGTTCCGTCCAACATCGAGATCTTGAGAGTTCAGGTTATGGACGACGGATGAGAGAAAATGGGGCCCACGACGTTCAAGGTGCCACACTCACCGCAAGCTATTGAAAGCGTCGGCCAAAACTCAATTGCGGTACGAGAAAATCATCAGTGGATAGGCTCCATCGTTCGTCGGTAGCGCTTCCTATCGTGCCATATCGTGCCATTGTCTCTGCCATGTCTCACTCTCTAGGCGCAGAGTTCGAGATCTACGATCTTTGAACACGCGAGGTCAGAACGGTGCACAAGATTGCCGAGTGGATAACGTGCACCACAGAGATGCAAACGAACCGACGAGGCTAAGATGGCTTCGCTCTAGGAGCTTATAGCGAAAAGTGACATCCCAAAATATCGCGATCTGTTTGCCAGCCTCAATTCCCTAGGCACTCCAAGATATGAGGGTCAAACCACACTTACACGTACGTCTGCCGTCACACGATAAGGGATGTCCAGCACCAGCTCCAGCGTTCGAACGTTGACTGCCTCACCATACGCGTACCTGGAGGCCTTCTCTGCGTCTACCTAAACCCTCGAGCGTTTCTGAACCCTACTTGCCTATGCACAGCCCCCTCTGACAGCCGCCGTCTGATGTTTTCCAACAGCGCCATGAGGTCAAGAGCCCGAGCCGCTTCCGAGCCCGGTGTCAGCCATTCCCGCAGCGACCCCTCCAGGGCTGACCAATGGAAAGCCACAAAGATGGGCATCCCGAGGGTAAGGTATCGTATGGCATTGACCAAAAGTTGAAGCCGGCCGGGAATGAGAAGCTGAAAAGGCCGCCTTGACGATCTTACTGCCGTGGCTTGCGTGGCTGGGGGCAGAAAGCTTCAAGGCAGTGGATGTGGACGGGGCGGTGGCTTGAACCACAGAGCTACACACGTTTTGATAGTTTTTGATATTGGGGAGCACGGCAGTTCATCATCTGCCACAAAACGCCCCTCCCATCAGTGCCACCTTACCGATATTTCGCTGAAGACGGCATATTGGTAAAGAAGGCCCGTGTTGGCGAGTATCTAACCTCTTCCAAACATAGTCTCATGATGAAAGGGCCACACACCCCAAGCCGGCCCGCCCGCTGTCCACGTCGCTTGCCATTGTCAATAGTCTCGTATCCGTGCCCCGAGCTAAGACGATTCGTGGATCACGGGAAAGGGCCCCATCACCGAAAGAAATAACCCGACAGGGTCCCCTCTTTCTCTGTGTTTCCAAGTTACCACCGGCTCGACACCAACTAAGCGAAGAACGGCGCACGGTGCCGCCTCTTCCTCTCTTAGTCTTTACCAAGCCTTGCTCATCGCACTAGACTAGGCTGGTTGGCACGGTCGTCTGTTGGCTTCTTGGGGTGGGGGGCACGACGACTGAACGCCCTCTCTGGCACCTTGGGCGTCTTGGGAAAAGGGACCGGGAGCAGTTGGTTTGTCTCTAGCGGGCGTCAAATGATCTAAGCGCTTCCGCGCCGGCTGGCGGGCGGCTTTCTTGCGAGCGGTCCCCCCGCGTCGAGAGACGGCGTCGAAGGAGTTTCTTCTCCACTCCGCGGTACCCACTCCGTGCGGCCGGAGAGGGCGGAGCCACACCCAAATGGCTGGGAAGAGATGAGGGATGGTGTTGATGATGTGGCTCAGGCAGAGCCGTTTGCGGTCACACAGGAACTTACCGTACTGGTTTACACACCAGTCGCCAAAAGGTGTGAAGGCCACGGAGGTCTGGGCCTGCCTTCATAGACACACGAGACAGAGAATTGCTTGCTATGGGCGGGGGGATGGGACGCTAGCTTTGGTTCCGTGTGTGTGTGTGTGTCACTGCCTACGGCGCCAAGAAATGAAGGTGCTTTGGCATCGGGCGTCATCAATATGGGTTCGGGGACGGGGAGCCATCATCATGCGAGGGAGCACGGGGCAATGCACGGAGAAAACAACGTCTGCAGGAGCCTGAGAGGTATCTCGATGCCTGCGAAAGGTGGTATAGCACGATGGGTGGTAGCATATTGGCTCTCGCATGAGCTCCTGAAGCTGTTACAGTAGAGAAGCCAACTGTGGGACTATAGTAGGCAGCGTGGTTGCTTAAGATCGACCACGAGTTTGCTTTGTAAGTGCCGTCTGGTGTTTTTGCGAGGCGGACAAATCGTTTCTGGCACACCATCTTAAAATGATGCGACAGTTGGCTGGAGCAAGTGTCTGAAGCCGCGAGGTGAGCAGTGCACTTACACACTTCTAGGAGACTTTCCTCCTCTCTTTACGCAAGGGGAAGGGCAAAGCTTGGGATGGACTTGGATAGACCTTGATGTGCGTGGCCGGTCTCATGAACCATGGAGAGGATGACGATGTTCGTTCCCATCCGCTTGGATGTGGCTTGAGAAGAGGACCCCTATGCCCTGCCAATATGTCGTACGGGCTGTTAAGGAGAGGCGGCGTTGGCACGGACCGCAGATATTCACACAAATCTCCATACCATGACGCCAGATGCCGCAGAGGCCACGAGTCTGAGAGCCTCATTTGAGTCATCAAGCAGCAGTATTTCCACAATTATGGCCGAGAACCAGACCGTTGGTAAACAGCGGGATCCTGCAAGCGCACGGCGTCCTGTTGTGGTCAATCGTGTTCACGACAGGTCGTCATCTGTCATCAAGGGCCGTGATTGACTTTCAGGAACCATCACGGTCGACGTGAACTCTGGCACAGAATGTATTGAATGGCAGGGTCCTTTTTCCCGTGCGCGCGTCGAGGAGAAGAGTTTGGGCCACCATGACTCGTCTCATCATGGTGCGCCTTCTTGCGCTTCGCTAGGACCACGCCGTCACGGCGTGGTCATATCCGACGGATGGTGTGTCATGGAGTGAGGGCATCCAAACTCTGTTCTCTCTTTGCTCGAAGTTAGTGGTGGTGAGATGGAATTATGAGATGGATTGAGTTGTAGATGGTGGCAGATGCTTTTGCTTTCTTGCCAGCACGCGTTCGTCGCGGAAGGCGCCGAAGTCGCGTGTTTGTAGATTTGGGAGGGTGATTGTGTTTGGCTTGGCATGGTCTTGAGCGCAAGCAACGGGAAAGTTTACACTTTTGTTATGAAAGGCATGTTGGTTGTATGTTATTGTTGCTGTTCCCCCTTTGGCCACGATCCCTTGATGAGTGGTCGCATCCGTTACGTCCTGGCTTTCTCGCGGCGTGATAAACGCGTGATGTTAACACTAGCGGCGTCTAGGTAAGGTGAGAGAAGTTGAGAACATGTCATGGGCCCCGAGAGTCTGCAGGGAGAGGAAACGATCGTGATGGGGCCGCGCTGGTTCGGCGATGGTATCGTTTTGTTTGCTGGGAAACTGACTCGTTCGCTCGGCGCCGGTTCGTGAGATCTATCTAGGTTCCTGATCGCGGCGCAGCCAGAGGCGGCGTTGCGAAGCGTCGCAACAGACCTCGTGGCATAGTATCCCGCTTCACCCGCTTCATCCGTTTGCAGCGGCCGGAAAAAAGGCTACACCATGGATGATGGAACCTCAGCCTGCGGGCGTCTTTGTCAGCGTGGTAGCAAGCGCACTTTGAAAGTTTGGCTTTCTGGTTTGAGTGTAGGTAGGGAAGATGGCAGATGAGAAACATCGTTTTCGGAAATCCGAGAAGGAAAAATTGCTATGGCGGCGGTGGTGGCTTACCTTAACCTCCTCCCGCGTCCGTCAACTCTACCACCATCCAGGTTTTTACGGCCGGTCGGAGTCGGGTAAGCTTTTTAGTGGGAACTGGGGCTCTCCATACCGACGTCAAAAGGCTTGCGGCCTACGGCCTTGCTCCGTGCTCGTTCGGCACGATGGCCGGCGTTCGGTCGGAAGTTTCGCGTGAAACGTGACCGTCGAGGATAGGGACTCCCGTTCTCTGTTGAATCTTCTTTTGACTTTGAGGTCATCGTCCAGGAACGACCTCGTACAATGGGCAGGGCTGGCTGTCCTCGTGATGAGCTTTTGGGAGACTTCAGTCCACAAGGCCGAAACAGGAGAATCTCGGGAGAGAGAAAGACAGAAGATGGGGACTCCGCGGAATAAGGTTGAGTTTTCTCTTCCCACACTTGAGATAGCTTCCGCAGTGTTGAGACACTGACAGCTTGCCGGGGGTCCTTTTTGAGTTATCATGCGCTTCTTCTAGAACAGGGTCCGGTAGCAAGAACCGGCGAGGTCAAGGATAGACGCTTTTGAGTTGCGAGAATGGATTCTGGGGGACAGGCTAGTTCGAAACATCCCGCCGTGGTCTGTCTCTTACAATGACATATTTGTCTTCGAGATAGGCAGGGCTTATTCGTGAGGTCTGTCGGGAGCTTCGGTGTTTCTGCGACGCACGGGAATCATAACTGATACTCGTTTGCGACTGCTTCCGGCGACCATGGGATGAATCTCTTACCCGTCTCATTGATTTCTTATTTGATTTGAGATGGGGATGAACTCAAGGTCTGGACGAAGCAGACCAGATGGACCAAAAAGGCTTGTGTTATCGTTATTTACATACCATTCCATCATTCGATCTATCGTCGCGGACTTCGGAAGTGTCAGAAGAGACCAAAAAGGGAGTTGCGATGTCGGGTTCTCGACTTTCGTAGGGCTGGCCGCATTGATGCCATCTTTCAGCAAACATGAAACCATTTCCATTACGATTTCAGAACCATGAGCTTAAGGCAATCAAGCATTTCTTGGAAAAGGCGAAGAAGAGGAGTTCATGAAAGAAATAACACGGGAAACCTGATCACTTGCACCATGAATAAGCACGCAGTGACATCTGCGAATAAGCATCTTCATCAAACCTCCAAACTGTTTCCTTACTTTCCTACGGACATCCTCTTTTCTCGGATCCGGATTGTCAGGTACAGGTTCTTGACGTCCACCGTGCGCGGCCACACAACCTTATATTCCTCCATCTCGTCTGTTCAAAACTTTGGCATCATGCCCTTGACGAGGCTGTCGCCTAATCACTTGGCTTGATCGGACCCCCAGGCACCGGGGACTGGGTCACAACGGGCCCGCCTGGGACAGGTTTGTCCGGGATGATGGGTCCGACAATGACATCCTCGTTGCAGGCTTTGAGCGCCGCGATGATTGCTTGCTCCAGGTTCCAAATCTCAAAGGGCGGGGTGTTGCTGTAGATGAGAAGGAGACTTGTGAGAGTTGCGCGGAGACCAATGACATCAGATAGCTTGCAAGAGCCAATCTCGAAAATTTGACGCTTCGTGTTTGTGGTTGGGCTGAATATGGTCGTTGCTTCGCCCAGGGTGATGGTGCCTACTTCCACTCCCTTGCTCGCGAGGATGTCCGCCATGTGTAGGAGGACCATATAAGTTCCGAAAGAGGGTTTAGTCCCATGAATAATGGGCTCCAAGAGAGTGAAGTATGTTTCTTTGAGGGTATTGAGATCTTCCGTTCGCTCAGCCAAAGCTTGCGATGGTCTCATAGGAGTGTCTAGGTCATTCTCATATTATCAATTTAGGCACCAAAAACGACCGTGGTCGTAGTACTTACCTGACGAAGATAATTTGCGCTCGAGAAAAGGCCCGTCAAGCTGTGTAGGAAAGTTAGGGAGCTTCACACTGGCAACGGGGGCACCTCAAAATGGGCATGATCAAGCATAGAAAGGGACTTTTCTTACATCACGCTTACCAGGCTTGACTTCCGGGCTGTCAATAGGAGGAAGCAGGATGGGGCCAACTGGGTTCGGTGAAGTAGCTCCTCCACCAGGGACGAGAATCGTAGAGCCATCTCCTATTGTGAATTGAGGCGCGGCGTTGCTCATGGCCAAGATGCCAAGCAAAACTATGGCGTAAGACGCCATGATGAGCACTGGTAGAGTTGCTCAGACGGGGTCCCTCATATCATTGCAATAAGTAAGGTACCTACTTAGTAGTCTGCTAAGAGCAGCGACCAGGCGAAAGTGGGATTTTATAGGCGAAAATATCCCATGAAACGGAATGAAGAAACGTCTCCGTACGAATCACAACGGTGTCAAAGAAGCTAGCCCATGCACTAAATATCTGAATGCCATTGGGCAGTTAATAAGAGAGAATAGCGGGAAAAGTGAAGCTGCAAGTGCCATTTATCCAAACACAGCTTGAGTGATCTAGAATCTGATACACGCTATTGAGCCAGATTAGCCGAATTTTATAAATTGCTGTCAGATCACACGGATAAGTTGAATTGATGAATTGTGGCTGATCAAGAGACCTCACTTTGAGATTGCGGAACCGCATGTCCGCGAGCAATTGAATAATGGATATTTGGGCGATAAAGCCTCGTATGTTGGCGGTGTCAGTGACTCGTATACACGTTCAAATAGTCCTTGATGCGTCAGGGACGTGAAGCTCCTTGATCAAGAAGGAATTAGAAAAGACCAGTCGCTTCCCATCACACATCGAGGCCATGTGTGGCAAACACGAGAACTGGTAGAAACCTCCATTCTGATTCAAAATAGAAACAGCTTAAATAAAGGAGCCCATCGGCCCGATGCCCGGCGGAGCATCGCCTCCCAAGATGGCATCGATGGCGTTGAGATCGCCGGGGTCAAAGAACTCGAAAGCATCAAAACCTGCAGGCCCCTCGAAGAGTGAAGGGTCAAATACGGGCATAGTATCACTGTTTGGCGGGCAGTTTCCGGCATCAACATTGCTGATGCCTACAGCAGGCGCGTCCTGTGGTACTGTTTGGTCCTGCCGAGGGGTATTTGGCGCAATTGTTGAGCCGGACCCGTTTTGCTCATTCATGGCGTTTGTGCAGACTTGGTCTATCTCTTGGATCACTTGTTCCGCTAAATCGACCATGACCTGAGCAGACCTGAACATGCTGCTCATGCCACGTAGTGTCTTGCAAGTTGACTGGAGCTGTCGTCGCGATCTCGCTGTCAACATTGGCACTTTGGATGACCGTAGTTCTCGATATGCGACCCGCAGTGATAGAGACACGGCATATGGTACGAAAGTCATGTGCGATAACGTGTTGCCAAAGTCCTCAATGATGGTTGTGATCTTCATAGCGGAGAGAGCTTGTCGGTTGAGTGCCAGTGAAAGGTGCTCAGATCTTGTTGAACCAACAGGAATCCGGCATGATAGTATGCCAATGCCATGATAAAGAAGTTCAATGGAAGCTGTGAGACAATCAGCTTCATCCACAGACACCTTGAAGCTGGACCAGACTTACCCAACAGACGAGATTCAACTCCGAGAGCCTTTGACTTTTCGACGAGGCTATCAAAGCTTGGGAAGTCCTCCATGACAACGCAACCTGTGTTCTTTGCTGCCGGGCGATACAGGTCGATGATGCACCCGAGCAAGACCACAATTTCGAGAAACAGTCGGAAGCAGCTGTCTTGCTCTCGAATACACTCCACCATATCGCGCCCCAAGTCTCTTTCGTGTATCATCACCGGCCGCCCGTGGAAAGCCGCGTTGAGCTGGTCCATAGCCCAAACACAACAGAAAAGCCGGGTTAAATACGCCGGATCCTCCGACCTGGCAGGCGGGTTTTGGAGGTGAAGTCCCACTGTCTGGGCGTTGCTGACGGCCTGTGCTGCCAGCTCGGCAGATAGATGGCGATCTTGCGAGAAGTGGGTGTACAAGGAGAGAATCACCATGATGGCGACGGCTTGGACTCGGTCCTTTACCAAGCCGAGGCTGAGTGCTTTCCGGATGGCAGAGGAAAGGCGGAGTGCGAATTCTGAGTGGCTCAAGACGGCCGAAGAGCCTTGCCCAAGTGTCAAGTAGGGTCTGGCGCTTGGATTTGAGCCGGCAGCTAGGCATATGGCTTGTTTGCAGAGAACCTGGGATATCGTTGATGTTGGCATCCGGAGTATGTCGAGGTTCATGACGGGTAGAATTCGATGAACATCTCGAATGTAGATCCTTTCGAGGTGTTCATAATCCTCATTTTTCGGCAACACGGCGAGAAACTGGTGTACTTCATAGTCTATCGAGACTGCCGATGCAAGTTCTGGTGTGAGGCTACCGCCGTTGTTTCTGCGAGAATACCAAACGCCAACGGCGTTGGATTCGGCATGACCGCGACTTGTTGCTGGACTGTCCGCTAGGAATGCACCCTCTGGATTCAAGTCGCCTACGAACCTGTCGTCATTGTGGTTCGAGTGGGAATCTGTTGGGTGGGATTTGTCCTCAGGAGTTGAGATATGAGTTGTTGAATCTCTCGCTTGAACCGCTGGGCTCTCAATGGGGACCACTGCTGTCTCAACCGAAGGTACTCGGCCATGAGCAGGAGTTCCCGTGCTGTTATTGTTGAGTCGTATGAGCCCTCCTCGAGGATCTGCATGACCGGAACGACGTCGAGGCTGCTCAACTGGAAACGTCGGGTTCTGGGCAGGAGGCTCCGAGTTTGCAACATGAATCGAGTCGGCTGTCTGATCATCGTCGCCGGCATCGTTATCATCACCGCCAACGATCTGTCCACCCGAACCACTGTCCGCCTCTACAGTTGGCTTATGATGAAGAGACGGATCTATTGGCGTTACGGCCACATCATCCGGCGAACCATCCTCGGCGGAAGTGGCCGGCCCCGATGTTTGGCCCCGTTTCCTCCAGTGAACGCCGTGCGAAGGCGGAGACTCCCCTTCCCCTAGTGGATGAACACATCGTTTCTGTAAATCCGTCAACACTCTGTTCTTCAACCAGAAAGGGAAGGTATCGCGGCGAGACCGCACTCCGATTGGTCACCAATCAGGCATCCCGAATGGCACCCAGCAAGGACCGTAGTCCAAGTCTGTCTCTCTTACGACTTCACCTGCAGGGAACGGGTAAGATGATTGACTTACCTTTCGTCTCCGACAAGTATCACACGCATGTAACGCTATTTTACGCTTTTGAACGGGAACATTAGTGGTGTTGACGAACTTGAGCTTGAGCATCCTGTCGGCGTGAAGGTGAAGACCTGGCGGGCTTGGATTTGCCTGGCGGCGGTTCTCAACATATCGACTGGCGGGGCTGCCGCCACTGCGGCGATCGGACCAGCCCAAAACGGAAAGGCCGATGACGTACCGCTGAAGACCAGTTCATCTCCAAGATCACACACATAAATTCTTGCATCTACCTCTAGATCTCTCCTAGGCAAGGTCTGGTGAGTTTCGATTATGAAAAGCTGATCTTAGTTAAAGGTTTGTAATGGTGCAAGTATATTGCTAAGTGTTCGCTGAACATGTGTCGTTTCATACTTAAGGCTCTAAAGCTAAAGTACCCAGAATCACGCATACAAAGGCCAAATATTTCCCGAAAGTTTATCAACGCTGATTCTCTACAAACACTGAACCGGAATATTAGCACTCATCTTCTATCATTCCAGAAAACTTGGAAATCACTTACGCAGCCCTCAAAACCACCTTCCCCACACGGGGTATCCTCCGCTAACATGCAGTCTCCTCTCCAAGTGTGTCGGTCTCCTCCTTCTGCTGCACTGCAACAAAAGGTATTTCGTTCCTAGTCAAAAACGATAAAAATGAGTAAAGGATCATACAGTCACACAATGTGCAGTGGTGCCATCATACCGGGTAAAGCGCTTTGCAGCTCAGATGATTAGCCTGTTTTCCATAGTCGGTACACCACCACGCATTGGCCGAGCCTAATAACAGGGCACTAGCGGAAAGGAGAACGGCGGTGAACTTCATGATGTGCAACTGATTTAGTGGAACTGAGTATGGAGACGCTGGCAAGAGATTCTTGGTTTCTGTTAAATACTTTACTACTTGTAGAATCACAGACGCTCCGCTGTTATTAGTTCGTCTGTAACTGCTTCATGTGCCGCATGGACTTTCCAGGACATGAGTACCGTATTACTCGTGCTGCGCAATTGAGATAGAGAGGCGTCTGTCGATCTACTATCCGTTTAATCGAGGGGGTATACTGCATTACTCATGGCGTCCAACGAACATTCCGCCTCTGTCCGCACCCAATTTATGTGTATCCTCTTACTAGGGTTGCACCGAGTCATAACTCACTCGAGAAGGGTCAAAGACAATGGATTTGACAAATGTAAATAATTTCTTATTGTCAGTGCCCTTCCGTAAGGAGGTCAGTAAGGGCAAAATAGGGGGACACAAGCAACAAAGGAGCAGCTCGGACATATATGATCACGCAAGGAGTCCACGTGGATATATGTAATCACGTAAGGAGCATACATCTAGTCATGGGGGGAGATTTCACTAATTCATTTTTTTGACCTCAACAGCAGTTGGCCTCTGGGGACTTCCACCTTACGTCACACGCAGATTGACAGTTATCCTAAGTCGAAGTAAATACTAATTTACTCTAACCAAATATGTCCTGAGGTCCTGGGCATATGGAATCAATTCTGTACCGAGTGATATCTGGAAGGAGGCCACTGACTTAACTAACGTTATCACGCGCTTAGAATTCCAAGTACTATGCTCGCTATAAAATAGGGAGAAATCATCTGCGTCTATAAGGACTTTGAAACTGTTGTTGTGAGTGATTGGTTCCTCGTTTTCGGAAAAGATGTGCCGTGAAAGTCACAGGCAAGCGGAGACGAGGTCTTCCAGTCGTAAGCGGCGAGTCCGTAAAGGTCCCACATAATAACCGAGAACACTCTATTTTACTTTCCCTTTCACCTACGGCTGCCTTGTTGATCTCTCATTGTCTTTTATCATGGCTGGGTAGACTTGCCCGATTTCAATTACAAAGGCATGTCGTTTGATGAGATTATTAGATAGACGGAAGAGACGGTAAAAGGAGGCAGAACCCTCAAGGTTTTGTAGTATGTACTAAGATGAGTAATCTGAGAAATATCAAGGCCAGACCGACACCTTTGACCCGGCGAGGTGGCCGGGTAACCGGCATCAACTGAATGAGCCGTAAATGGCGCTGCAATCTTCTGTACGATTACGACCTCTGCCTGCAAATATCGAGAACAATAGCGTTACATAAGTAGTTCGGAACGTGCGGCCCTGGTGATAATTTCTTACAAATTTGCGTCTGTGACCACTGAGTATACTGACTTTATGATTTTTCAAGTAGTTTAATCATACGACCTCCAACGAAGTTATTCTGCGGGTCTTTTACCTTGCTGGAAAGAGGAAGCCGGCTGATCAAATAGCCGATCACATAGATACCTAAGGCAGCTTCAGCAATACTGAAGTCGCGGAGTCGTTCGTTGTTTTGCAAAGCTTGATCTTGGATAGATCGGACTCAATTCTCAAAGTGAGGTACACTAGTAGGCATTCTGCATGATCATCTTTATCAAGTCCAAGTCTTCCCGAGCATCCACGGCCGAGGTCTTCGGGATAGTCTTCTTCGTTACACAAGAGTGAAAGTCCAAAAACTCAAGCGTGAAGGGATCCTCATACGTTTTCCTGACAATTTTCTCTTGGTAACCATCACCTTTGGCAGTCTCGATTTTCTCCCTGATGGTCATGGTAATAGGAAGCCCCTTAACGTACGGAGTATCGTAGTCAACGCGCACAATCTTCTCTCGCGAGTAGATCTCGATGTGAGCGTCAAACCTGGGTACGTCGATGATACCTGACTCGTACATGACGGGGAAGCCTTCGTATTGGAACAACACGTTCCAGATTGGCAACCCAAGAGAGGCACCCACAACTCGTGAGGGCATGCCGACCATCTCGCGCAAAGCAGAGAAGTCATGTACTCCAAGTCTATCAGATAGACGGGATGGGTCAGCGAGAAGGAAACTCTCCCTTTGGATCAGCTCTGCCTAGGGATGTGACCTACCCTGTGAACAACCTGAACATCGTCATTGACTCTGGCGTTGCCTCAACCCCAATTTCATTGATGAGCGCTGTCTTGACCATCTCTTCTTCGGTAGACTTCATCTCTGCCGTATCTTGCTTCGGGTAGTCGGTGTATTTCTTGGGAAATGTGCCAGACTGGTCTACGAAAGAGCTATTTTGCCCAATGATATCTGCAGTATCTATCGTCAGCCAGGTCTCTAATCTTCAACATATCGAACAGTAACATACCCCTGACGCGAATGTAATCAATCTTTTCCATCCCTCCCACTTCCTTCACAGCATCGAGGAAGGATTCGGCATATCGTCTCTGGTATCCCACAAAGACTTTCGCCTCAGAGGTCTGCTCCGCCGCGATGATGGCATCGAGGTCGCGGTAGTTCAGTGCGAGAGGCTTCTCTACAAATACGTACTTGTTGTGCTGAAGAGCTAGAATCGCTTGTGAAGGATGGAATGCGTTGACGTTGCAGATGACCACAACGTCCGTATCGGGAGAGGTAATCAACTCTTCAGCATTCAATGTTGTCTTAGGTGACCCGCCAGCGACTTTTTTGGTGCAGAAGTCGAGGGCTTGTTGAGAGACATCGGAGATGTAAGTGATCTCAAAATGAGTGGACAAACTGTTTAGCACAAGAATATGGGACACCTGCATTGGTGAAGCTTTAGTGTCTGCAGAAAAAAATGAATTCGGATGTAAGACAAACCTGCGCGAGCTCTCCCAAACCAATGACTCCGACCTTGAGAACCTGGTTGAGCTTGGTACCGTTTGTTACTCCGACCATCTTGAGAGGCGCCGAAAGAGCTAGGCTGAAGGGTTTACTGCAGGCGGCCAGATCGAAGCTGGGTTGTTTTGGTCTTCTCTCCAAAAGAACAAGTCATACAACATTCAACAACATATAAGCAATACAGTCAATCAAATGTGCCTTCCTCGATGTTGAAGACGCAAGGCCCACCTCTCCTGGCGGCTGTCGAGGACTTGGAGCCTCGCCCCAAGTTTCCGAAGGATTGCGCGTCGCGGCCGCCATTATCCGGAGGATCAGAGAAAGATAGCTCTACTTCAGGCTCCGGACAAGCGGACCGTCTGATGCAATCACAAACATGCCCCGAATAAGATCAAAGCGGCGTAATGGACGAAAGATCTTTTCATCCTACGCGCGCTGGAAGCTGCATTGTGACGGCGCATACAGCTTTGTGGTACCTTACATGGAGCCCTTTGCATTTCTACTGGAACGGCAAGTGTTGCATCTTACATCAGCTAAGCACCTTCAAATATGCAAAACTTCCATATCCGGTCAAATCCTACAACTGAGGGGCGCGCCACCATCTTGAAGCAGGCGGCCCGTCGCCTCCGGCCCCTGAGCCTGAGGCGTCCCGTCCGGAAAACGGGAAGGATCGCGAAGGATCGCGAAGGGTAAAGTCGAAATCATCAGCCTACATGGACCCTGAAGATACAGCCGGAAGGATTGGCGGGGTTTGCATGATAATTCGACTTTCCTTTTCCGCTACCGACCGCGATCATTAGGCTAGATGGCCTGGCGAGGAATGTCCCTTTTCCAAGCACCTCACGATAGTGTCAACGAACAACCTCTTCTTTGCCAAACATACACGTTCTCGATATCTCTGAATTAACGAAATGCCTCAAGCCTGGCGAATTTACCTGTACGGCGCTGGCTCAATCGCATGGCGACATGGCGTCGCGGCGGAAAGCCTGGGCGACGATGTTCAGCTTTTTGCTGCAGACCCCTCGAAAGATGCTCGGGAAGCATTGCTCGCCAAATTTTCTAAAGCTACTGTTTATGAAGATGCAGAGAAAATGCTCGCCAGTTCCCCAGGGCAAGAGCGCGACATAGTCGTGGTGGCCGTTCCTCCATTCCTGCACCACGCAGCAACACTACGCGCGTTTCGATCCAACCGCCATGTTCTCTGCGAAAAGCCGCTGGCAACATCCGAGAAGGAGATGAATGAGATGTTAGCGGCCAGCGATGAGGCCAATCGAGTCTTTGGAGAGTGCAGCTTTCGATATCTCGGAAATAAAGCTTTGGATCGCGCCCGCTATTTAATCGAGACGGGTGGAATAGGGTCCATCTATCATGCTCGCTTCATCAACCGCCAGCCAAGAGCTCGCGCGGGAATCGAGTATCAACCGTCGAGCAGATGGTTTCTGGAAAAGGAGAAGTCTGGCGGCGGCATTGTATTCGACTGGGGCGTCTACGATGTTACCATGTTCTTCGACGTCCTCCGTCCTGTCGCTGCCACGGTCAACCATGCCTGGCTAGCCACGCCAACTACCGGTGCTGATCCGTCTGGCACAGTCATCTCCGTCGAGACACATGCTGGCGCGTCTCTGACTTTAGAGCTTCAAGACGGCACTGCCATCCCATTCTACTGGGAGCGAGCAAGCGGTTTTCATGGAGACGCCCAGAGTGCTCTGAACATTGACGGCACGGCTGGCGGTCTGACATGGAGATGGGTCCCAACTTTCGACTATAAGGAAGAAGTCGACGAGTTAGAGCAAGGCTTCAGGCTGGTGCACTATGTCGACGACAACGGCAAAGTCGAGGCTAAGGAAGAGAAGTTTCCTGCTTTCGGGTGGGAGGACGCAAATCAACGCCCCTTATTGTCCTTTGTCGATTTAATCGAGGGACGCGACAGCGTTTCTCTGTCCAGGAGCAGGCTCGAGTTCAATTTTGGTGTCGTATCAGCTATCTACAAGTGTGTCTCCGAGGGAAAACCCGTTCATGTTCAGTTGAAGTAGATTCAGGGGCCAGAAACATGAATTAGACACCATTACTGTAACATCGAACAAGCGCGATTACTTATTTGAGAGATCTATGGTTGGATTACGTCTTGCCTAAACTCGCAACAGTTGGAAGAATAAAAGATACCGTCTGACTTTGAAAATGGGGCTCTAACTGAACAGCGTGTGGCAGACTACTTTATACCGCTTGAGTAAACAGCAAGACAATCATTGAAAACCCTGTTCCAACAGGAGAATACCGACATGACTTAGTGAGTTTTGGATATGGAGGCTTCATGTATTGTAAGATGAAGAAAATGCACCAGCAGCGAGATGTGATCAGTCCTTAGCAGTGCGTTTCAAAAAGTATCTATAACTTCCGCATGAAATATTTGAATCTCAATGGAATTCTCCTTTGTTGTCTTCATGCAAATGGTAAACGAACCACAGGCTTACAACCTCTCTGCAGACGTTTCCGGCACAGCCTTTTCGCTGCCACCAGGGGTGATGGTCTGTGGACTTCCCTTTGCCTTGGAGGCACGGAATCGGAATTTAGCCTCGTTCCATCTTTTCCCAAAGCCATAACCTGGGTGGAAGATAGTCAAGGACGAGCATGCTAGTATAATCATGGTTCCGTCGAGGATCATGAACTCAACCTCTTGGTTGGCAAGCTTCCCGCCGAAACCTTCGCTGAGCTCGACAGAACGGAAAACAGTCCGAATGAACAAGAATGCTGTTGCGCCGAATAGTGCTTCAAGAATCATTAGCTTCATAGATCTGCTTAATACGACATCGAACAGAGAACATACCAAACAGAAACAGTTTGTATCTTTTGCTGTTGACCAAATCGGTAAACTCGGGATTTCGCATCTCTGGATTCTTCTTCACGCGCCAGAGGAATTCGAGGCTACAGGCAGTGAACGCAAACAGACAAGCAACCTGAATTGACAGGCCAGCCACCAGAATGTTTGTTCCCACATCGATCTAAAAGTACCAAAATATTAGTAACAAAGTTTAGAAGCAGTCGAAGGCCTATTGCCATGACAAAGGCGGGTGAAGAGTACATGCGTACCATGTGCGGGTTATCTAAAGGCGTAGACGCAGCAATTCCTCCGCCGACTGCCTGAACAACAAGACTGACAATGTCGCATCCCAAGAAAAATGTCGTGTACGAGCGAGGCTTGATCCGGCTAATAGCTTCCCCATTGATCACGACGATGCGCCCAAGAGTTAGGTAGATGGCTGCCGCGATGAATACGGGACCGATCGTTAGGGTAATGAGATACCACAAGAAGTAGTCTCTGCTGAAAGGGTTGCCATTCAAGAGGACCCTCGCGATGTATCCAACAGTCTCGGTCAACAAGCCGAGGCAGATAGCTATCATGAAGCCCCTTGTTTTGTGCTTTATGCCGAGAAAGATTTGACCGCATGCGAGCAGGGCCATAATCACCAGGAAGAGAACATTTCCGGCGACACTTGGTCGATAGCGGACGAAGCCCCATTGTTCAACGGAGCATGTGTCCAGAGTGCAGACGAATCCTGGAATGTAGCCTTCGGGGGCCGACATTGTAAACCGAGCTTTGTGGAAATGTTGGACCTTTGGAAACCTTGTTGAGGATACGGTATCTCAACCTGTAGAGAAAGTGGAGGAACCCTCGACTGGACGTATTTAAAGCTATCGACAAGTTGAAGGTTCAAAGACCCGCGAAAGGAGACTGGCGATACCGGCCGATTGGTAAATTGGCCCAACACGTCTCTTGGCTCAACCCCATTGTTGGCCAACCCTTCACTTTGTTTCATAAGCGATTGGATGACAGGTGAGACAAACAATAACGGCTGAGATTCCCTTGGTTCCGACCTCTAGCCCAAGACTGTAGTAGGTGTATGCAAGTCGGCCCGAGACGCCTGGTGGATAATTGAGATGTAAGATTGGTGGCGCGGGGTATTCTGGCTAAATCGAATCATCCCCATGGGGGCTAGCCAAGAAGCCCACGGATCTTCGTGCCGAAAAGCTTACCACCTTTATATAAGTAAGCTGTGCTGTGCCGCGTGGCTGCGGCGTCTAGCTAGCCGAGCCGCACACAAACTTGGCGAAGGCTTCATAAACGCCATATCGAGATTGTGTAGACGCAAGTCATACATCCGTCACCCTATTGGGACCATACATCCTGCCATCTTTGGCGCAACAGCACAGGAAAGGCGCAAGATGACAGATGCCGGAATTTTCGGGACCAAACCACGGCGGCAAGACTTGCTATCACATCGAAGGATCCCCTGAATCCTTCAAAACATGCATCTCCCACTAGGCAACAGTTCGGCATCCCCATCTTGGACTTATCATACGGCCTGGGCCGCGAAGGATCGCGAGTTTTCCAAAAGCGGATTTGCACTTTGGTTCAGAACTTGCCATGCGAGGTACAGCGAGCCGTCCAAAGCCGCATTGCCGATTCGACAGTATGCTGTCAGCTACAACCCTCGACTCCTGAACATCGATTTCTGTGATACACGAGCCTTATCTTCAGGGCTGTAGGATTCGTCATCGTAGAGGAGCTGCCAGATTTTGTTCCGATTAGCGCTCATGGTCCTATTGCCTCCTGATATTCCAGCCTGAAATATGAGATGCCAAGTGCGCCGTGTCGCTGAGGATACCTCCATGTAGGTAGGATCAAATGATGGGCAGATATTGATTTCGCATTAAATATCACTTTACCCAAGCACAAATAATTAAATTCTTGAGATTCTGGAGCTCGAATACCTCGAGGAATCATTCGAACTCTCGCTTGTCGCCATCTCCTCGTCGAAATCCTTGTTGAAGCATACCTCTTGAGGCTGTTCTTACTCCGTTTGAAAACATGACGGAGCCATCACCTAGTCCAATTGCCATCATTGGCATGGCATGCCGTCTGCCTGGTGGCTCGGATAATCCTTCTAAACTCTGGAATATGCTTTCAGAGGGCCGAAGTGGCTGGCGTGAAATCCCGGAAGATAGATGGAACAAAGATGCGTTCTATCACCCCGACCCCGAGGCAAAAGAATCTGTCAACTTCAGGGGTCTTTACTTCTTGGATCAAGATATTACTGCTTTTGACGCGCGGTTCTTCAACGTACACCCTCATGAAGCCCACTGCCTCGACCCACAGCAGCGCATCTTATTGGAGACGACATATGAGGCTCTCGAGAATGCTGGGCAAACCATTGCCGGTATCAAGGGATCCAATACTTCTGTACACGTCGGAGCTTATGCTACTGAGTGAGTTCTTCTTACTTGATGCAGCGAGAGTGCCCCTCAGGGGACAGATCCACCCAGGCTGGAAGCACATTCGGTCTAACGTGTGCATTCATATAGCTTTGAACGAATGGGCTACAAGGACACAGCAAGAACGCCCAAGGCCCATATGATCGGCACAGGAATAGCAATTCTCTCTAACAGAATATCCTATGTCTTTGATCTCAACGGCCCATCAAGCACAGTCGACACTGGATGCTCAGGAAGTATGGTAGCCTTGCATCAGGCATGTCATGGGCTCCGAGCAAGAGAATCAAGGATGGCTATCGTCGCCGGTACCCAACTTGTTCTTACCCCTGATCAGATTATCCCCATGAGCAGTGTCGGGTATGTCTCATCCCTTTGATATGTGTGATTAGGAATTAAGAACAAGAGCTGACGAGGTGGACATAGCATGACCAATCCGGATGGTAAATGCTACGTCTTTGATAGCCGCGGCGCTGGCTACGCAAGAGGCGAAGGCGTTGTCACTCTGATTCTCAAGCGTCTCGAAGATGCTATCAGAGACGGTGATCGGGTTCATGCCCTTGTCCGGAACTCTGGGCTGAACCAGGACGGCAAGACAGTCGGCCTTACGCTACCCAATCCCATTGCCCAGGCGAATCTTATGCGCCTCGTGTACAAAAATGCTGGGCTAAACCCAGCAGATACTGTGTACGTCGAGGCTCACGGTACGGGAACTCAAGCTGGTATGGGATTTCCACTTTATGTCCTAGCTCTACATTCACCTCCCTCTGCTTTCCATCACGTGTATCTAGCAAAGGCGGTGCCTAACAATGGAGCAGGTGATAGCGCAGAGATATCGTCCATTGCGGAAGTCTTCTGTCCCGAAGGCCAACGCGAGAACGGTCTATATGTTGGCTCTATCAAGTCAAATATTGGCCATCTTGAAGCTTCAAGTGGTGTCGCCGGATTGCTGAAGGCCATTCTAATCTTGAAGCATGGCGCAATCCCGCCCAACATTGACTTCATCAAGCCGAAGCCTACGCTACATCTAGAAGAGCGCAAGATCAAGGTAAAAAACACTTTCCCCTGACTATTTAGATTATAGCTGACCATGACCCGAAGATTGCTACTGAAATGGTTCCACTCCCTGAGTCTACTGGTCCCCGCCGTGTGTCTGTCAACTCCTTTGGCTACGGTGGAACAAATGCCCACGTCATCCTGGAAGCTCCAGCCAGCTACGAGAAAGCGGACAGCGTACTGGCTCCAGAGAAGTCCAATGGCACCAATGGGCATATCAATGGGTATACCAATGGACATGCAAATGGACACACTAATGGGCATACCACGAAAGAAAACGGCACAAACGGACATACAGAGGTGCAGGAAATTACGTCTCCGGATCATGGCATAAACGGATCAAACGAGACCAACGGAACTCACGGGACTATTGGACACAATGGTCTCAACGGCAAAACCAAAGACCATGTCGATGAGGTCGACTCGGATACTGCCAATGGGAGGACCTTGTCCACTCCCAAGCTTTTCGTCTTGTCAGCTCGATCGGAGACATCTTTGCAAGCCATGGTGGCCAATCTGCGAGGATGGGTTTCTTCCCATGACGACGCCTCTTCACTTTCTAACCTTGCTTATACTCTGTCGACTCGCAGATCAGAGCTGCAATTTCGATCAAGTGTCGCAGCGGCCAGCCATGATGAGCTCATCAGCCTTCTCGAACAGAAACCTCGCATCACCAAGGCAGCGTCAAACTTCCGCTCCGTGTTCCTCTTCACGGGGCAGGGAGCACAGTGGCATGCCATGGGTCGCGGGCTAATCAGGGAGAATCCGGTCTTTAGAAAGTCAATGCTCCATTCGGAAAAGATCCTGAAGGATCTTGGGGCTGACTGGAGTCTAATCGAAGAGCTCTCCAAAGACGACGACAACTCGCGAGTTGGTCAGGCTGAGATCTCCCAGCCCTCTACTACAGCGATTCAGATTGCATTGGTAGACCTCCTCAAGAGCTACCAAGTCTTCCCCAATCTTGTCCTCGGCCATAGCAGCGGTGAAATAGCTGCTGGTTATGCTGCCGAGGCCTTGGACCACGCAACTGCGCTCGAGATATCGTTCAGGCGCGGCTTCATGTCGCAGGCATGCGCGCGTGTCATCTCGAGCAGAGGCGCGATGATGGCTGTCGGCTTGGGCGAAGACGATGTCAAGAAATACATTGAGCAGACCAAGACAGGGCTCATCTGCGTCGCATGTGTCAACTCCCCTGTTAGCACAACCATTTCTGGAGACGAGACTGCCATCGACGAGCTCAAGCAGATTCTTGACGAAGAGTCCATATTCAACCGCAAATTGAAGGTGGACACGGCCTACCACTCTCATCACATGAAGAAGGTTGCAGCCGAATATCTCGAGTCCATTGCTCACATCAAAGCGCGCACTCCGAACCCTGCCATCAAGTTCTACTCTTCTGTTGCCGTTGCACACAAGACATCTGGTTTCGATGCTAAGTACTGGGTTGACAACCTGGTGTCTCCGGTTCGCTTTGGAAATGCCTTGGAGCTCCTGTGCCGCACAGAACTCGTTGACCTCGAGCCAGCGCCCCTCACTCTATTGACCGAGGTGGGCCCACACGGCGCTCTAGCAGGTCCAGTCAGGCAGACTATCAAGGGGCTCAATTTGACTGGCTTCAAGTCAAGTTACCTATCTACTCTGTCTCGAGGCCGTGACGCCGCGATCACCTTTCTTGAGACAGCCGGCAAGCTATTCGAGTTCGGGTATCCGGTCTCGCTACAAGCGACCCTGGGAGAAAATCAATCTGCTACGTTGGTTGATGATCTTGACCCGTATCCTTGGGATCACTCCACGAGCTTCCTCTACGAATCGAAGCTCAGCAAGGAGCATCGCTTCCGCGCGCACCCACCACATGACCTTCTCGGCCTTCGTGTCCCGGGAACTACCAACCATGAACCCACTTGGCGCAACCTTCTTGGAGTGGGAAGTCTTCCGTGGCTTAGCGATCACGTTGTCGATGGCTTCGCCATTTTTCCTGCTTCTGGATACCTCTCTATGGCTGTAGAGGCAGTGCGCCAGATCAGCGTCGACAGAAAGGTCCAGGGTGTCATTTCTCAGATTCATCTGAAAAATGTCTCGTTTACCAAGTCAATCATGATCCCCGAACGTCGCACTGATGGACTGACATCTGATGTCGAAGTCCTCTTGACGTTGCGACCCGCCAAAAGTCTAACCGACCGTACATGGGAGACATTTCGCATCATGGCTCTATCACCGGAGGATGTGTGGCACGAGCACTGCGCGGGACACATCATGGTTGAGTGGTCGGCCAAAGAGGATGAAGTCGAGGGATACCGCGAAGAGACCATGGCAAATTCAAGAGGCCTCGAACATCTTCAGGAAATCATCAATGCTTGCAACACCACGATCAGCGGCGAAGAACTTTACAAGAACTTCACCGAGAACGGCAACGTCTATGGCCCTACTTTTGCCGGCATAGAGTCAGCGCAGATTGGCTCCCGCGGAGGCATCGCAGAGATTAAGATCCCCGATGTGAAGAGCATGATGCCTCGCAAGCATCAGCAAGAGCATGTCATCCACCCAGCCTCGCTCGATACAGTCTTCCAACTTGGACTTCCACTGTACCGGAGAGACGTTGGTAACGGACCCGTGATGCCTACAAGCATCGACGATCTGATCATCAACTGCAAACTCAGCAGTACACCCGGCACCAAATGGACCGTGTGCTCTACCATGGGCCAGAAAGGCTTCCGGTTTGCTAGCATCGACATCATGGTCTTCGAAGAAGTCACAGAGGGTGCGCCACTGGTGCCCGTATTAGACATTCGCGGTGGCGCACTTCGGGGCATCGGCGAAGCTCCAGTTGACGAGGGCGCCCTGCCGTTCTCTCGCAAGATGAGCTATGCTCTCGAATGGAAACCTGACGTCGACCTTCTGGCTTCACTACAGCAAGGAGACGAGCCAAACCAGCTAGTCTCGTATCTTCAGCTTCTGGCCTTCAAGCAGCCACGCATGAAGATCCTGGATTTGAGCGCCGGATCTGGAGTAGACATCGCGCTGCCATTCCTCAAAGCGATTGATCGTCCGGAAGGATTGCTTCTTGACCGATATACATATTGCAGCGCTGAATCCCACATCGAGTCCTTGGATCAAGCCAGGGCGTCTCTCCGCCAATGGATTGATCGAGTCGATTTCAAGACTTTAGACAATTCAAAGGATCTTACACAGCAAGGTTTCCAAGAGGGATCTTACGACCTAGTTATTGCTTCCCAGGCTGAGCATGGCTCTGCTGATGAGTCCCTGAGTAGCTGGCGAACGCTTCTGAAGCCTCGAGGCAGACTGGTCCTTCGCGCATCGCCGGTCGAAGGTGAACATGATGACTCTCCTGTCCTACCAGAGGTCGATTGGCATGCCCGATTGGAGCATCACAGCTTCCAGGAGGTGACTCCTAGCCAACGAGACCCTGCTACAAGACCAAGCATGATCATTGCCTCAGCCGTCGAGGAGCAGTCTCCAACGAAGGAAGACTTCCCCTCAATTCGCATCATCTCCCAGTCGCAGTTAGGCCAGATTGCGTCTCTTGCAGATGCATTTGTGGCACACATGACCGCACTAGGGTTTGCTTGCTCTGTGGATGGTTGGGCATTTGAGCCAGTCAACGCTGATGCTATCCACATTGTCCTCGATGATGCGATGGACCCCATACTTGCTGCACCAAGTGCCGACAAATTCGCCCAAATTGTCGCCCTCGTCACCAAGACGAAGAGCGTACTGTGGCTAAGCTGCCAAGAAAGCGGTGCCGAAACCCATGATCCGGCGAAGGGCATGATCAGCGGCCTCGCAAGAGTCGTGCGACGAGAGAATTCGGCTATGCGTTTTGTTACTGTCGATGTACAAGACGACGTTCTGTCAAAAATGGAGGTGCTGGTGTCCCAGGTCTCAGAAATCATCAGAAGTTCCTTCGCCACCCCCGTCAGTATCTCACGATCCGATGAGGATGAATACACCTTCAGTAACGGCCAGCTCCTCATTCCTCGAGTTCATGCGGATGCCAAGTTCGATGACTGGGTCAAGAGGGCAATATACGCTCAAGGAATGGAAACCGGGCCTTTCCAACAGGCGGATAGGCCTCTCAAGCTCGAGGTTGAGACGCCGGGGCTCCTCAGTAGTCTCCGTTTCGCCGACGACGAGACGGCATCGAGGCCCCTGCAACCATTCGAAGTAGAGCTTGAGGCTAGGGCGTACGGCGTCAACTTCAAGGATGTATTCATCGCGATGGGGCAGATGATACCTGGTGTAACAATGGCCGGTGAATGTGCCGGTATTGTTCGCAAGGTGGGCTCTGCCATTGAGGACAAGTTCCGCGTCGGCGATCGCGTCTGCGGAATCTTTGCGGAGCCCTTCTCTAGTCACCCACGGATCGATGGGAACTTCAGTTGTCATCTTCCGGATAGTATGCCCTACTCCGCGGGCGCATCAATCCCTGTCATCTTCTGCACCGCCTACCACTGCATCATTGAGGTCGCTCGCCTCGAGCGTGGAGACACCATTCTGATCCACGCCGCTTCTGGCGGTGTCGGACAAGCAGCTATTCAACTTGCCCAGAACATCGGAGCCGAGATCTTCTGCACTGTGGGCAGTAGCGCAAAGCGTCAACTGCTCATCGACACTTTCAACATCCCGCCAGACCACATCTTTTCGTCAAGACTTCGGACATTCAAGCAGGGGATTCTGCGACTCACCCAGGGCAAAGGTGTCAACTGCGTCTTGAACTCATTGTCGGGCGAATCACTCCATGACTCCTTTGCTGTTCTTGCACCACTAGGAACCTTTGTCGAAATTGGCAAGTCTGATATCTATCGGAAGAACGAAATCAGCATGGTTCCTTTCGACAACAGTGTCACGTTTGCTGCTGTCGACTTGACCGTCTTGGCCCGACTCAAGCCGACCAAGATGCGAGAAACGCTCGATAAAGTACTCTCATTGTTCGCGGAGGGCACTCTAAAGCCTGTGGCCCCCATTACGGCTATGCCCATGACCGATATCGAGGACGCTTTCCGTTTGATCCAGTCGAGGAAGCACACTGGCAAGGTTGTTCTCGTTTGCGACGAGCAGACGCAAGTCAAGTTGACGTTAGCATGTCCACAGCCTCTCCGTTTAGATGGGAATGGCACATATGTCATCTCTGGAGGTCTCGGAGACCTTGGGCGAAGAATCGCCAGATTCCTAGCCACTCACGGTGCGGGACATGTGGTAACTTTGTCTCGTCGCAACTTGGAAGAAGAGGACCAGCTTGCGTTCGAGGAAGAGTTGCGCGCCATCGGATCGGAGCTTCACATCATTCGCTGTGATGTGACAGATCAAGAGTCAGTGCAATCAGCCGCTGCCGAATGTTCAGAGAAACTTCCTCCGGTGAGAGGAGTCGTCCACGCAGGAATGGTCTTGAGGGTAAGTCTCTGTCATACATCCCAGTTCTCTCGCACAACGAAGCTCACGTCATTTCTAGGATCATCCTTTTGAAATCATGTCTCACGATGATTACATGACTTCGATCGAGCCCAAGGTCCAGGGAACTCAGAACCTCGACAACGCCTTTGGCGCTTCCGACTCCCTCGACTTCTTCATTATGCTGTCATCTATCACCGCAATCCTCGGAAAATCTGGACAGTCGAACTACGCTGTCGGTAACGCCTACCAGGATGCATTTGCTCAAAGCAAAAAGGGATCGAGCTGCAGATACATCGCGTTGAACCTCGGTGCGGTCGACGGATCCTTGGCCATCACCTCACTGCCTCCTGCGCAACAAGACGCTATGAGACGCGGCTCTGTTCTCATGTCGTTTGACGAAGTCTTTGCCGTTTTGACCTACGCTATGAGCGCTCAGGCAAACGAGGATGATCTCCACCAGCTGATACTTGGCTTCGACCGAAAGTCGATGGAGGCGGTACACGATGAGATGGCTCTTGCGAATCCCATATTCAGCCAGATTCCGTACCTGGAGAAGGAGGGAGAGCCGACCAAGGAAGCTGCCACTGACGTTGGAAAGTTGCTCCAACAAGCCACTTCGCCCGAGGAAGTCAAGAGCATCGTGGTAAACGGCATTTGCCAGCGGTTTGCCATGTTCACTGCTGTGCCCGTTGAAGAAATCAGTCCGGATGTTTCGATGGAGAGTTTTGGTCTCGACTCACTTGTTGCCATCGAGTTGAAGAACTTCCTCTCTCGCACTTTCCAGGCGACACTCCAGACATCTGAGGTTCTCGACGCTGTCAACATCTTGAGTCTGGCCAAGGTCATCATCCTCAGGTCAAAACTTGTCCCTAAAGACACTGAGACGGCTGTTGCGGAGAAGGAAGAGACCGCAACGTCCACAGCCGTGAAGGTCGCCGACTTGGCCATCGAAAGTGCAGCACCAGATACCAACCATAACTTCCATTGTTGTCGAGCAATCAAGACGCTTCAGAAGATGCCTCTTGTTGACTTTGACGTCATGTTTGACGATTACCTGGAGAAGTCAAGAATGTTCTTTTCCGCCGAAGATTTCAAGACTATCGAAGACGATGTAGCCGAATTCAGAAAGCCGGACAGCATTGGTCGGAAGTTCTATAGCCGTTTGCATGAGCAGGCTCACGATCCCGCGATCGAGAACTGGCAGGAAAAGTACTTCCTTCAAAGCATGTATCTGCAGAGACGCATGCCGCTCGCGCCTTTCAATAACTTCATGGCATTCCACCCTCTCGGGAATATGGGCCATACTCAAGCCGAGCGAGCAGCCATGATTGCAAGCATTGCCTTCCAAGCCAAGCAGGATCTCGAATCCGATCGATGGGAGCCCATGGCGTACATGTTCACGGCAAACTGTACCGATCTTTGGCAGTACATCTTCAACACGGCTCGCCTGCCTGGCGTTCCGCTGGATCGAATGGCTAAATTCCCTGGGAACGACTACATGGCGGTCCTCTATCGCGGACACATCTACAAGGTCGAACTCATGGATGGAGATCATAACGTTTCCGTCGAAACATTGACCAAGACTTTTAATGCTCTCTTGGCTCATCAAGACCTCGATGACAATTGGACAAGTATCCTTGGCACCGACGACCGCACTTCATGGGCGGAGGTAAGTTCGCTGCAGTCTATTCACACGCAAATTATGAGTGATGGTGAGACTGATTCATCAATAACAGAGCCGGCAAGCCTTAATTGACCTTGACAATGCCAACAAAGAGACCATAGCTATGGTAGAGGCTGCAGCTTTTCTCGTTTGTCTTGACGACACAGAGCCTGCGCATGCAGAGGAGAGAATCAACAACATGATGATGCTCAATGGTTTCAATCGATGGGTCGACAAGTCCATCGCATTCGTGGTGTGCAAGAATGCAACTTCTGGCACATATGTGGAGCACACGATGATTGATGTAAGCTTGGTCGCATCGATGCCTGACCCATTTTGGAGTAAAACTTTCTGACCACTTGTACTTAGGCAATGACTCTCTTCGCGATGCAAACGGCCATTGTCGAAGGCATCATGACCTATAAGCCACCCCGAGAGGTCAACGGCCATACCAATGGCGTTGTTTCCTCGCCCAGAGAGTTCACTCTGAAGACAACACCGGCTTTGGACGCGCGTATTCAACATGTGCGACAGCGTTTCGAGAACGACATCTCAAAGTTCGGATACAGAGACATCGTGCTCTCCGACTTTGGAAAAGACATTCTCCTTGAGCGTCACCTCCCCATCAAAGGCGTCTATGACCTTATGGGTCTTCTCGCCAACTACTACTACTACGGCTACAATGCCCAATCGTGGGAGGCCATCTCAATGTCGCACTACCACAAGGGACGGCCTGACATTGTGCAAGTCAACACGCCGATCACCGCGGACTTTTGTACCATCGCAGACGACGAAAGCGTTCCGGCGCGCAAACGCTTCGACATGATGGTCGCGGCTGCCAATGCTCGTAATCAGATCATCAAGGACGCGTTCATGGGTCGATGCTACCAGCGGACGCTCAGGGCCCTCGAGCTCTGCGCAGAAGAGGGCGAGGATCTGCCTGCTCTCTTCAAGAATCCGCTCTATGAGCAAACTGTCGAGCCCAACCAGATGTTCTCGAATACCGATGGGCTATCTCCCGAGTCTTGCTTCATCATGCAGAACCCAAAGAGGTTCTGGATGACGTACTATGTTACTGATGGAGGGTAAGTGACCTTTTTACTGAAATAACTCTGCTTTGCAAATGAAGCTAACAATTTGGTCTTTAGAGCTCATTTCTCTGTGGTCACTGGGAAAGACGAAGTGATTGCGTGGGCAGACTGTTTGCAACGTGCCTCTTCGGTGTTGAAGACGTTGATAGACGCGGCATGAGGTGGATTTCGCACTGATTTTGGCGGTTCATTTGTTCATTTGACTCAAAGTAGTTGTATATCCGCCTGACTGATGCACCTTATTATGACTGAATTATCCTCCTCAACAACTATGTACTTACTCCATTTTATCATTCTCCGGGTACGCTTCTGAGTGTCAATTCAAATCTATAGTATATTGGTTTTCTTGTGGTAAATACATCAAGTACCAAGAACATGATGCGAATGTCTAAAGTGATGGAGGGGCAACAACACTGAGAGGAGAGCATGCTGGAGCTAGCTACGGGCCCTGACGTTCAGTGCAGTGTAGCCCCTGTAGCTGCTGAAGCCTACCCCACTGAAGACCTCTTGCATTACGATTGTTGGCACAGAACGATTTCAACTTTGACATGATGTCTTCAGAACCAGTCACTGAATCCAGCAGAACGATTTCAAACCACAAACGATAAGTGCAAGTATAGCCCTCAAATGTCTTCATTTCTAACCTGGCGTCAATGCTGTATACTCTCAGATATGTATGCATATCTACACTGTCTTCTCATCCCTTGTCTGATCTAACGGCGCAGTGGCAGCTTCGTCGCCAGTGTTGGCCTCCTGACCTGGTTTCACCCGATCGTCAGGAATCCATCGTCTCTGCATGCCGAAGCTGAGTATCAAGGAGGTACCCGCCACGACAACGGGTAAGATGAAAGCCCTAGAGATAGCATAACTGAACGCCTTTTGCACGAACGGTAAAACAGCCGCGGGAACCGCCTTCGCTAGGTCAGATGCACCAGCATCTTGTATCGCTTCGACGTTGACACCTCCTGGCACTCCCGCAAGCCGACGGTAGAGCTCCTGAGAGAAGAGGTTAGAAGCGACGCTAAGTCCCACTGCACCACCTAACAAGCGGTGGAATACGACCATGGCACACGCTGTCGGCATGTCGCTGTCGGGAAGGACAACCTGTACCGCAATGAAGGGGACCTGTTCCGCGAGCCCGATGCCCGCTCCGCTGAGGATTTGAAAGCCGATCCACTGCCCCATCGACGATTCTCTGTCGAGTCTCTGGAGGAGCACGCACCCGGCGATGAAGACGCTGGATCCGAGCCACATGAAGGGGACGTAGTAGCCTTTTGAGCTGACACATGCCCCTGTGACGATGATGGCGATACTGCATGGTATTCCGTATGCGAGGCAGCGAACACCCGACGTCACCGCGTTTGTGCCCAGGACTGCCTGGAAGTAGAACGCAAGATAGTACATGTGAGTATTATGTGCCATGGACATGAGCATGTTGAAGGTGCAGCTGATGGCCACGGTTCGCTGAGAGAGGATCCGCATGGGGATGGTAGCTCTTGACCCCTGTCAGCTGATATCGAAGATGTGTGGATATTATCTGTTGTTTTTCACTCACTCTTCTTTCTTTCTCGACTGCAACACCCCGAAGGCTGTGATGAAAATACCAAACACCACAAGGCAGGCGTAAACCCTAGGGTCAGACCAAGGGTATTTAGTCCCGCCCCATTGAAGAGCAAAAAACAAACTGATTAGGCCGACAATGAGAAGAAACCCGCCAAGCAGATCGAGCTTCTTCAGCTTTTGACGCAACGGGAGTTGACCGTGTATCGGTGTCCTCGCTCTCAAAATCTTGTACGCGATTCCAAATGTCACGGCACCAAATGCTAGACAGACTGTCAGGGGATCCGCTTCGGTCGCTAGTCTTTCATTACTCACGTAGATTGATCCTGTTCAGAATTTAGAACACTGTCAGAGCGAGTCATCGGTTCAAAACTTACCAAAAACAAAATCTCCAGGTGAGACGAGGCGTATCGGTAATGAGTCCTCCGAGAGTCGGTCCCAGAACTCCTGCGACGCCGTACATACTCGTGACCAGGGCCATTCCGAACGGTCTAGCTCGCAAAGGAACTGACCTTCCGTAGACTGACAGACTGCCGCAAAGCAGGCCAGCGGCCCCTATACCAGATATGACTCTCCCCGTGATCAATGCTGCAGAGTTTGGCGAGGCAGCGCAGAGAATCGAGCCTGCCTCGACTTCATAACACCACAGTTAATCAGAGGCCGTATTCTGCAGCTAGATACGAATTTGACTCACAAATGATGACGGAGGTCAGATAAAGAACTCTGGCATTGAACAAAGTGTACAAGCGACCAAACGTAGGCTGGAATGCCATTTCTGTGAAGAGATACGCACTTCCGTACCACGGCACGTCGTTGAGCCGATGGAAATCGCTGGTTATCTTGGGGATTGCCGTCGCTGGCCAGGGCATCGTAAGTCTAAAGACTTCCAGAGTCCGAGGAATTGCAAAAGCTTACCAAGTATACTGCCATCTATGGCTATCATGAAGGTTGCAATGGTGAAGACTGTTGATAGAAGAGCCAGCTCTCGTGGTGTAGCATATTGTTGAGTCTGCGACTCGTCTGAGTCCTCAACAGTCGTCATCTCATTTACATCATTTTCTTGGCTTCCCGGTCCCTTCATGTTCTGCAGATTTTTCGTCTTCTCTTTAGAATCATTGTTGACAACAACTTCATGGGTATTGCTCTTCTTTTCGTCGCTATCCAATTGAGGCGGCATGGAAATGTCCATGGTATCTTTTGTCTGAGCCTCCATACTCCTAGAACTCACTCAGCAGCGGCCCAAGTGTTACGAGATTTGGGGAATTTCATTTATTCCGAAGACAGAGGGAAATAAGCAATCCCATGGCAAGATTGTTCGGGGCCCATCTGGTTGTCAGTCATAACGCAAAGTTCCCATAAACAAGACTGATGTCCAAGTTGGGACATTGATGAACCTCGTCTTGCCGAAAGGGTCTTTGGTTCCTACAGCTCTTCCGCGGATGACTGCATTCAGTAATAAGATACACACCTGAACTAGCGCGTGAATCCTGCAGCACCCCGCGTAAGGCTACGTTTAGAATCCTTCAGGAGTAATCCTGCGGAAACAACGGGAACGGTACCGTCGGTCCAGAAGGGCACGCTGACTACTGCCTCACAGCGTATAGCCTGAAATCAGCCCCTCGGTTCGCTGTTCCGTACCATCTACAACTCTCATGCTGGACGAACACAATTGCTTACTAGTTGATTTGATGAGAGCAATACGGGCTACGGTGATTGGCTGGCCAGCCAGAAAGCCATTTGATGTGGTGCAGTTTGCCGCCTTGCTGCGCCCTTTCACACCGAAGGATCGGGCACGCATATACAATGACTCTGCCTTGGCGTTCTTGTCATTATTGACATCAGGCCAGGTCCTATAGCCGTGTCAGAGATAGATAAAGTATGTGTAGAGAGCTTTTCAAATTGATTACCTATGCCTCCAAAAACCGGTGGTTGGCGGACTCCTGAACACGCAGCATGATTTTCTCAAAGTTCTTCCTCGCGCTTTGCGCGACTGCAATGGTGCAGGCAACTCCCGCAGCCCTAGAGTGCAAGGCCTTTCCAGGCACCACATCATGGCCCTCGAGCAACGATTGGTCTCGCCTGAACAAGGCAGTCGATGGGCGGCTCTTCAGACCCCTTCTGCCAGGCGGGGTCTGTCACCCGGAGCAGCCGAACTATAGTGCAGACCAGTGCGCCAATCTCTTCACGGCTTGGAGAACCTTTGAGTTCCATGCTGAGGACCCCGTCTCGGTGATGTGGGACAACTGGACCAACTACACCTGTGTCCCTCTCGATGGCTTCCCTTGCAGCGGAGCAGGCTATCCGTCATATGTGGTCAACGCAACCACGGCGAAGCATGTCAAGACAGCTGTAGATTTTGGTGAGTGCATCATCCATAATAGAAAGAAACAAGTTTAACTAACAAAAACCCATGCACAGCGCGAAAGAATCAAGTCCGTCTTGTTGTCAAGAGCAGTGGACATGACTACCTCGGGCGCTCAATCGCGCCCGGCTCCCTTTCCATCTGGACGCACCATCTCAATGAGATCCAGTATCACGAGGGGCAATTCAAACTAGTTGGGTCGGGAAAGGTTATACCTGGCGATGCCATCACCGCCGCAGCTGGAGCGAAGATGGTTGATGTGTACGCTGCAGCGAGCCAACACAATCGCGCTGTTGTAGGCGGCGGAGGTAAGACCGTTTCACAGGGTGGCTTTGTGACAGGTGGTGGTCATTCCATCTTAGCACCCCATTACGGTCTTGCGGCAGACAACGTTCTGCAAATGGAGGTCGTTACCCCCGGCGGCGATCTTATCACGGTCAACGAAGATCAAAACGCCGACTTGTTCTGGGCCATGCGAGGCGTAAGTCTTGGATTGCGGGATCTCTTGCTGTTTATCTACTTACATGGTAATATTAGGGAGGAGGTTCGACATATGGGGTTCTCACCTCTGTCACAGTCAAGACGCATCCTGAAAAGAAGCTCACTATGGTTTTATTCATGGCCTTCACTGTTCCTGAGGCTCCTTTCACTCTGGACCTCGCCACTTGGGCCGCTTCTCAGCTGCCTTACCTCTCGGACTCTGGACTATCAGGTTATCTCATGGCTACCGTGAACTCAACGCCGCCGATTCCACTGCCTGGTCTCCCAGAGCGAGTTGCCGGTCTGATGGGCAAAACAATCATTCTGGATACCCAAGATACGGCCAAGATTAACGAGATCTTTCAGCCACTCAACAAAACCATCCAGGAACGGTGGCCTGGACAGGTCAACTTGCTGACTATTACTCAACCGTACGACTCATTCGCGGCCTGGTATGCCGAGAACTTTGACGACGGTCAGGCCGGGGGCTCTGTCTATCTCATCTCACGATTCCTAGACAAGAAGACCCTGACAACTGACCTGGACGCACTGAAGAGTGCACTGGAGCCTATTCTTCTCAACGATGGCTGGCTTGGAACCTACCTGGTTGCTGGAAAGGGTGTCAATGAAGCGAAGCCCCGCGGCGGGGGAAATTCTGTCCATCCGGCCTGGCGGAAGGCATATGTTCATGCGCGTGAGTAGCCAACCAGAAAAGTCTCAAGGCTTTATCATGGCCTTATGCACATGTAGGAGAAGTGACTAATAATTAGCAGTCACCTGGCAGGGCTGGGGATACGAACCATGGGATCCCGTAGCAGGAGAGAAAGCTAGGGAGATTCTGGACGCTAGGTTCGAGCCTCTTCGCCAACTGACGCCCGATGGGGGATCGTACATGAATGAAGTAAGTTTCTCAAACTGATGAGTAGAGAAACCAGCTAGATCAGGGGTTTTGCTAACGATTTGATCAGGGATTCCCGTTTGAGAAGAACTGGCAGCAGGCATTTTGGGGCTCAAACTACCCGAGATTGTCCAAGATCAAGCGCAGTGTTGATCCGAAGAACGTTTTGTGGTGCAAAACTTGTGTGGGAAATGAAGGCTGGGAGGAAAAAAGCGACGGCCGCCTCTGCAGGGTTCAGTAAACAAGCAACTAAGTATGAAGACCACTGTGGACTGTTTACAATTTACTATAACCTTGGGCGCTCCATGAGTCCATGCACATGTGCCCTCGAGAAAAAGAACAACTTCTCAGTCTCAAGGTCGCTTGACGCGCTTTAGATCGCAGTACTTTAAGTCTTGTCAAACGTGAGAGCCTTATGTACAACCCCACGCGGATGCGAACTCCTTAGGTAACCATCAGGAGCCCATTGAGGTTGGACCAGTTTATGCAGTACTCTTCGGGATTATTTCATTCTAAATTCATGAAGTGTGAGGATGTCGAGAGAAGAGTCCACCACTGGTGTGGCTACATCTCTTGGTCGACCGAAGGCCAAGATCTTGTGTTGAGGGACCGACATATGACCCACTGTTTCCCCCGGATACCGGAGGCCCACTAGACCGACCGGCCGGCCGGTGAGACTGCACTAAGCCAGCAAGGTCGCGACGTTGCGTTAAGGTCCGTCATATTTGCCCAAGACTTAGTGGAAAGGGGTCAAAGGGGACATTGATGCATGAAACCACGAAAACAAGGCTGAAAATGGCTTGTGGCGCCAGCTCAGTGGTAAACACCCTTCCTTTTGACACAAATTGGTGGCTTCGAGGTGGTCTCGGATGGCCCTGGTCTGCAATCCCCCACTTCTCGGAGCGGTCAGCCCGGAAACACACTTGTCTGGAGGCTGGCCGTCTCAACCGTTGCAACCACATCTTCTGCATGTCTCAGCCACCAAGTCTGAGGGAAGGTTCTAGACTTTTGGAAAAGTCGGTAATGCCCGGCTAGAGTAGGCTGTTGATTCCACCAGATTAACGAGCCGCGTGTTGGGGTTCACATGATTGATGGGATTGGACATATTACCACCTCGTCACATGCAGCGTCAATTTGCTGAGAGAATGGTATTCAGCGATAATTCAAACGGCCGAGACCTCAACTTGTACCAGTCGGGTCTATCGCAATATATGCATCATTCACAAATTCGAATTTCTAGACATTTCAAATCAGAAGAATGAGCAACATACGCGTATTGAGAAATATGAAGTGACTTAAAACAAGTTGCCCGAGACTGCTAGTAGCAAAAGACGAACCACCGGAGATGTGGGGCCTTGAGTAACGGAGCGAGGCGGCGCTTTATCCGGACCACGCGGGCCCGAGAATGCTGACGTAAAGTGGCAGACGTCACAACTGGGAGAAGCGCGGGGTTGATACACACTAAAGAAGACGAGATGGCATTCTCAAATCTACTTCATTCTATCAGAAGCAAACATTCATGTGCAGTTGCTTTTTCGTAGCTCAGCTCATTTAAACTACCTTAGTGTAACGGAAGAGCGAACCGAAAACTGGGCAAAATGTCTAAACCTGGACAGTTCCGAGCCGAGTAAGTCACTCTTCATGTCGGGCGGTGATGCATCTCATTCCATCGCGTTGTTTTCCCGTCAACCACCATACCAGGGTCTCGAGATCATAGGTCAAGTGCAGACGAATCATGTGTATAATTCTTACAAGCTAAAATAACGCCAAACCTCCTTAGCCTCCCTGAGCTCGCGAGACATCTTCTCACAAATGGCCCTCACAAGACTCAACCTACCGCCCGCAGAGTCCGAGTCATCTTAAACAGTACATGCGTCGTCGATACCACCAAAGCAGTCCATGTTTGGGAACACGTTGCATATCCGCAGTACTATGTACCCGTAACTGAACTACGGAACTGCCGTTGGAAAGACAAGCAAGACATCCAGTCCACGGTCGATGCATCCCAAGCCGCGGCGGCAGTCGTTGAAGTGACCGTTCCTGGGCGGGACGGTGAAAACGACTTTACCACCGATCGGGCGTTGAGATTTTCCGACAATGGAGAGATCAGCGGTGCCCTAAAGGGTCTGATAAGGCTTGAGTTCGGCAGTATGGGTATGTTGTCTCAGCCACCATCGGAAGTTCCGTAATCTCCGTCATGTACCTTCGGAACTGACAAAAAACCACTATTCAACACCACCAGACCAGTGGCTCGAGGAGGAGACGCCCATCTACGTCCACCCCAAGGATCCCTACAAGCGCATTGATATTCTCCCTTCGTCGCGGCCTGTAGAGATCAAGGTCGCCGGAAAGACCGTGGCCAAGACCAACTTTGCCGTTCATTTGCTGGAAACTGGGCTGCCTACGCGATACTACCTGCCCTTAGCGTCGGTTGATCAGTCAGCTTTGCGAAAAAGCAAGCTCATCACCAAGTGCCCTTACAAGGGCGATGCTGAGTATTACAGTGTTGTGGTGGATGGCAAAGAGCACAGCGACTTGATCTGGTATTACAGGCTTCCCACACAGGAGAGCGCGGGGATCGCTGGTCTGCTGTGCTTTTACAATGAGAAAGTCGACATTATTCTGGATGGTGAATTTCTGGAGCGGCCAAAGACGTTCTTTTCCTAAGTCAGGTAGTTTAGATATGAACGAGTAAATTGTACTGCATCGCAAGTAGTCAAGGAATATGAATGCATGAAGATATTGAACACGCTTCAGTTTTAATATGGTACATCTTGATACACGCGGCATGTTGCCCTGACGAACGTATGGTAAACGTCAAAATGGCTGCCATTCTGTTTATGATGGGTGCTGATTAGCACCCAATCCTTGAGTCATAAATCGTAAATTTTGCTCCAACAGTAGTACGCAGACGCAACCTTAGTAGCTCCAGTCGCGGAAGCGCACGCAATCTGTGATCCGAGCTGGGCGTGATATACATCGATCAGTTCATCGATAGGCTGCGTCGTACAGTACCCGCATTCTCGTCCCCTCGCGTCTAATTGCCGCTTTTTCAAGCCTTTCCCCGCGAACAGCCGGCTCGGCGCGTCTCTTGGAGATCGTGGCGCAGGGCATCGGTCTCGGATCGATCTTTGGCGCTGATTAGTCGTGGTCTTGGACCCTTACTGCAGCCAGAAACTCTGCTTGCCGACAGGTCAGGATCGCCGCCGACATCGTGGGTGACACAACGGCGGGTCGCGTTTCTGAAACGCCTGTCATGGCACGTTGACAGCTAAGCCAGTGAACATGACGTGCAGCTAGCTCAGTCGATGCAGTGCATCCTTCAGCCGCATGCCTTTCCGCATTGGGCAATCGCTTCATCGTCGCCTAGACCGTTCACGCGTGAACTGTTGGTGAGCAATTTGGCGACGGGCGAGATCGTATCTTGCAATCCTTCAGGTGCTCATCACCAGTTCAAAAGTACCCAGGCATCGAGCCGTACGTTCCAGCAGGGCCGTGCGCGTCATAGCCCTGAGGGATGAATTCGTCCATGAAGCCGGGAGGCGCCATGCTGTAGAGGCTCCCCGGGTACACCTGCATGGCCTGAGAGCAATCCATGACATCTTGGTTGGCCTGCTGCTGCTGCTGCTGCTGCTGCTGTTGCTGTTGCTGTTGTTGTTGCTGGTGCTCCTCAGCTGCCGCCGTGGCCTGCTGCTCGAGAAGAAGACGTTCGTCGCGCTCCTTTAGCTGCGATAGGGAAGCCTGCTGAGGCAGCGCTTGATGGTGGATCGGGGGCGGTGAGGTGACGGCGGGCGTCAGGGCCTGGGCGACGGAGTGGAATGCTGGGATGTCGGCGATGAGCTCGGGAAAGCGTGTGAAGAAGTCCATGCCCATTGTCCAGGCGTTGATGTCCGATATCCTCTGCTCGAACATGGGCGAAATTTGGTACTGGCCTGTGACGACGCTCTTTTTGTACGCGTCACGGAATTCATAGGGCCAGAGGAGGTGGAAGTTGGGGCCGAAGAGCTCCCAGAACTGGTTGTTGCAGTAATGATGTTGTCCAAAGACGAACCGTTCCCGAACACCTGGCCTAAAAGGTTGTTAGGAACTGCAATCGAGCATAAATGGCAATAACCAGAGGGGTGTATTGACGTACCAGACAAAGAAGTCGATGGCATAAGAATGTGGCATCGCCTGTGATGGTCTGCAATAGATCAGCATACGTCTAAGAACAGCAACATACAGGCCGTTATTTGACAAACCTCTTCAGGTACCAGGTGGGCAGCTTAGCATAGCGTTCGGGGGTGGGATCGGAGTGATACTGCAGCAGCAAGTGCATGGTTCGAAGGATCGCCAGCCGTTCTGTCGGCGGGCAAGTCATGAAGCACAATTCGTCGACCCTGCGGAGCTTTCTCCACAACTTGGACAATGGCCGTGACTTCGCGACGGCATCCCAGCCCTCGAGTAGTACCCGCACGGGGATGTCCTCGTCGTTGGAGTCCTCGATCGCGTGAGCTTCCTTCGATATGCGACACCGCTTTGCCAAGACCTGGTTAACAGCCCGCCACACATTCACCTTCGGAGACGCTGGGCCCGCTGGGGTCCGGACAGTGACGCAGTCGCAGTGCGCTTCGGGTGGTGGCACTATGAGATTGGGATCGTCTGGGACATCGTCCCCGTCGTCGTCCTCGTCGTCGACAAAGTCCTGGCTGTCCGACGTGGAGCTAGGTGCGTGGACGCTGGGAGCGTGTATGCTGGATGCCGGGAACCCATTCGGCACCCTGCCGACGACGGCGCCATTGACACTACCGTGGAAACCGTGGACGTCGAGGGCGGCGGGGGTTTCGGGCAGCAGGCCCATGGGTGCGGTGTAGGTTGGCGCCGAGAGCTCCGTAAGCATAGTCGCATCCCGAGAGGCTGCTGAGCCTGCTCGCGGCAGGGATGTTGACGCTGTCACGGTGGGAGGCGGCGAGCGTTGCTGTGTCGCTGGGGTTGGGCGGCTCGGCAGCACATGGTCGCGGATCGTCTGCTCGATGGACTTGAAGGTGTCGAACAGGCCGTCCCGCTCGCGCGTGACGGCGGCCAGCTGCTCCATGGCGGCCGACAGCCTCGTCGAGTCATCCTTTCGGAGCTCCTTGACCTGGGCCTCGAGCTCGGCGATGCGGTTGCGGGTGCGCTCGCGAGCCTGCCGCTGGGCCCGGCGGTCAAGCTCGCGCTTCCGGATTTTGCGGGCGAGCTCCTTTTCGGAGGGGACCTTGGCTGGCGGAGCTCCTCCTCCTGTTGCTGCTGATGGTGTGGGGGCATCATCGTCTGGTCCATTGGACGCCATAGCTCTTTTCCTTCTTCCTTTATGAAAGAAGATTGTGGGCAGAAAAGAGAGGAAAGAGTCAACGAGAATAAAAGCGCGTTCGCGCTTGAGGGGCCAAGTGTTTGTGCTTTCTGCTCGCGTGGTCCGCTGGTTTGGGCCCTATCTTTCGCAAGCGGATGATGGGAAAGCTTGGTTTTGTCAGCGGAAAGATGAGATATCGATTACTAGCCCGGGCACGGGTCCGGATAGTCTCGAAGAAAGTTGACGGTAGATGTGCAGAAGTGGATCGGGCGGGCATCAATACTAATGGGGAGAAAGGGGACCGGGAGTTGAAAAGACAAAAGGAAGCTTACTCCTTGAGGTTTAATTAACCAATCGTGTATCGAGACAGACAGACAGTCAGAGGCAGCAGAGACAGGGCTTGGACGGGCATCCCGGCCACACCTCTAGACAGGCATTCGAATACAGATACAACAGTCTGAGAATATGGTAGTGTAGCAAGGAGGGAAGAGGGGTGGATGAGAAGTTGAGAAGAAAGACCAAAGAATGTGGGGTAAAATGCGGCCACCCTTGCTGTGCTGTACAGTGACACTTGCTTGTCCTGCAGCTCTCTCTCTCTCTCGCTCTCTCTCTGTCTCACTCTCCTTGCCTTGTCTCGCCTGCCCTGGTCTAGCTGAGCTGGGAATCCTATGTGACATTGGGCTTAAACTCTGCCATCGGTGGCTTTGCGTGGCTCTGATAGAGTTCGGACGCCATAGCTCCGCACGCAATTTAGCCCAGCAGAGCGACAAATCAGCAGTTGGGAAATGGAGGGAAATGCTGGCCCGCACCCTCCACTCCATCGCATTGGTCTTAGAGTGTCTCAGTCGCAAGAGTCGACAACTGTGCTAGCACTTAGAGAAGGATTTCCTAAGCAAGCCAAGCTCCAACGGGGGCTAATTAGCACTACTTCGACATTCCGCGGATGCCGTGTCCGGACGGAACTTCTAGTCTACTTTTCTCTAGCAACCTACTAAAGCCTTACCATCCCCTGCAGACCCTTCAGCTCGTGTAGCCACACCAAGCCTTGCGCCCTATCGAAACTCGATTCCGAACTGCCAGATTTATCAATGCGTAAAGTGGGTTTTTGTTGGCTTTGCAACGTCGATTATCAAATTGCGATATGTCACTGGATACCTCGGATACCTCGCCCACATATTAAACATGGCTTATAAGACATTCCAGCCTTAGCAGTCTTGTGTTACCTCCAATCGTCACATACCTCTCACTCATTTGCTAAGCTGTCACTTTTCCCGCCTCCCTCGCTTTGAAAATCACTTCCAACTGCGGCAGCGACAATGTAAAACCATCCTTTTTGCCATCAATAAACGCTTCTGCCTTCTGCCCTGGGGCGAATGCAACATCATATCGGTTAATAATTTGGCTGGCGCAGTAACGGATCTCCATCAAGCCCAGCTGCTTTCCGACGCACGAGTACTTGCCTGCCATGATTCATCCTTGTCGTCAGCTCTCACGTCGCACCGATCGGCCCAAAAAGGTGGAGGAGGTCATGATTTTAAGTGCTTACCGGTACCAAAGGGAACAAATGCGGCAGGGTCTTTGGCCAGATCGGGCCGGGAGGTCCACCGCTCGGGAATGAAGTCGTTTGCCTGCGGGAACAGGCGCTCGTCTATTTGTTTTTGCCACAGTCAGCAAGCAACATCTTGTACGACAGTCGTGGTTCATCAGCCGAGACAACGGTTGAAGATGGAACAGTTTCTTTTTGAGACTTGCCTCTGAACATGGTGTGCGTAGGCACCTGGATGATTGTATCACCCGGAATAAACGTCCCGTCAATATCTATGCCTTCGGGCGGGGTCATGCGTTGCACACCCGACGGAACGGGAGGATGAAGCCTCAACGTCTCGTCGATGCACGCCTGCAGGTACGGGAGCTTTGACAGTGCGGAGTGTTCAGGCTCCGCATTCTGCGCAAAGTAGTCGTCGATCTCCTCCCTTAGCCGCTGGTAGACATCCGGCTTTTGGGCTAGCTCGAAGAAGAGACAAGTAAGGGATGCAGCTGTCGTATCACTTTACGAATTCGTAAATACAACGTCAGCTGAGTTGACCCAGCACCATGGATATCAAAGTGGGATGCGAGACATTACTTACCTTCCTGCAACGATGATAAGATACGCGTCGCCGTATAGGTTGAGGGTATCCTGCCAAGTCGGGTTTTTGAGGGATTGATACTCCTCCAAGATCCATGAGAAGACGTCTGGGCGGTCAGGGGGGTTCTTAAAATTGATGACAATTAGCATGCATATCCCTCGACCCGGGTCATCGGCAGATCATACCGCGATTCTCTCGTCCACCTGAGATGTGACAAATTTCCAGAATCGCTTGTTATTTTCATTCAAGATTGGCGTGTTCTTGAAGATGGGGAAGAGCCATAGCATATGGCTGAACATGCCAATAGCCTGCATATCTTGATGCAAGGAAGTCATAAAATAGTGCTTGATGCCTTCCTTAAGCATGCCAAAGGACTTGCCGAAAGCCAGGTCTCCCATGACATCGAAGCTGTAAAAGTTGAACCAGTCTGAAATATTGAATGGCTTTCCCTTGTTCTTGTCAATACTTGCAAGAAGCTGATTGGTGTAGTCGGCAACCCGGAATTCGTAGTCTCTAAGCGCTAAACCTATTGTTAGTTGCGAAGCCCCAAAACGTCTCGGGGCGAACTCTTGTATTACCTTTCGAGCTGAACCCTCGATCCCAACTCTTGCGCCTCTGTGCGTGCTCTTGCTTGTCTCGGACGAGCTGTAACGAGTACATGGGATGCAAGACTCCATACCATGGGCCTTTGGTGCATGGTGAGCGATTCGAGTGGATTGGAAGAACGGCCTTTGGATTGTTGATAGACAACTCGGTCGGGCCTTAAGGCATTGACATTAGCATTCTTCATCGGTAGAATAAGATTTAACAGAGTCCCTCACCAATTCTCACAATGTCACCATACTGTTCATGGAGTTGTTGGACCTCGGTGTACATGTGCAACTCTTTGACTGCTCGCGAGGTGATCCACAGATTCGAGAGCCTCGCCAGGAACGGCCCCTTGAAGCCATTGAGCCGGTGGAATGCCGCACGGTACACGAGTAAACTTGTGTAGATTCCAGCAATGAGCGCTGCCGTGAGAGACCCAGCTGTCTTGAGCGCAGCCGCATTGGTCTGGAAAGTCTCAGGAGCTCCCCGGGAAAGGGTCGCCGTCAGCAACCCAATACCCAGTGTGAAGTTCCTAAAGAGTCTGGTAGTAGCTGTGTCCCATTCCCCTTTGCGGAAAACGAAGACGTGGAGCTGAGTGCCTAAAATGAAAAACAGGCCATGAGCCTGAAGGATCTGGAGGTTTGTAATTGCCATTTTTCTGTGTTTGTCATGCCAATTTCTGGCTCCGCTTCTGGCTTGTTCACCACACAAGAAATGAAGTAGAGGAGGAGGGTTTCTTTTTTGAGAAAGCAGATAAGGATGGGGCCGCTCTCAAAGGCTTGGTAAATACTCTCTGGACAGATTCGAATGCAACTCTTCGACAAATCGAGCGAGGCGCATGAGGAAATCACTGCGTCAGAACGCAATAGCTGCCATCCAACAAAGCATCCCGACTTGGCGTTAGGAAGCAAACAAGACGTGTCAGAAAAGACCAATCACCAATAACCCAATTAGGAACCCAATAGATCAACGAAGCTTCGAGTCAGAAAAACTGCCACCCTATTTCGGGATGGTCGCTGCAGAATCACGATCAGCACTCGACCATTCACATGTGTTTGATAACTCATCTGGCCTGATTACCCCTAACCCACGCCTCAGAGCCCGGAGCACCACGAAGAGGCTTGGGGGTCTGGAACAAGGACCCCTTGTGGTCTCAGTGGCCCGTTGCAGAATGTGCCTATCCGCCAGCCATCATGCGAGAAGTCGACTCAGTATCTTCAACGGTTTCTGACTCGACAGGCCCGGGGTAGAATCTTGTGCCCATGGGGTTCTGATCTTCCCCAGCGCGGGGCCGCGCCCGCGTGTCGGTGGAGTCTGGGGAAGAGCTGTCAGAAAAAGAAGTCTCCCCGTTTCCCCGCGACACCATCATGGATCTCGGGCGTCTGAGGCTGGAAGTCTGGGGAAAGATCTCGATGGGCCTCTTGTTTCCCCCCGCGGTTTCCCCGCAATGGGGTTAATTAGCCCGACGGGACCAAAACGGGGTGGCGCGAAAGATGGTCCGGGGCCGCGTGACCCTCGACGCGGGTTGCCGACGCCATAAGCCGAGCTTGCCAGCACAGCCCGACAGCTTAATTGAACTCTATCGTCTAGCTCGTCTAAGCTGTCCCGCTATCTCGGCATATACTGCTGTTAGCAGGAGTTTACCCCGGTTCTTCGCGAGCCGAGTCGGCACTTGAGCACTGTGCTGTCTCTCGTGGCACTCTCGTGGCACTTATCGAGCTTGTCTTGAGTGATTTGTTAGTATTTGGCAGCCTGTCGCTATTGGCCACATTCCTAACGACTGGGTGAGATATCTCGAGCTTCCCAATATTGGGTACAAATTTGCAACACTATGCGGAACGATCTTTCCAATACACCGCGCGCGTTTTATTCCCGGTTTCCACTATGATTCAAGCGAGAGGACAAGTGACATGAGAAGTGCACAGTGAATGTTTCATGGTCATCATAAATTGAGAGTATGTACAGGAGTCATGATAATGTGTATGCGTCTACTTCAAGTCAATCACGACACGTCCCTGAATGCCCCCAGATTCCATCTCATTGAAAATCTGTGAATTGTTGTGTCAGCATGAACATTATCAACCGAGAAGTGTAGAAAGAGACCAAGTTACCTTCGTTAAGCTTCTCATTCGTCGAAGTTGGAAGTGAGTCTTGATGTTGCCCTGTGCCGCGATCTCCAGGCATTCCTTGGCTTCGAGTCTATTACCAGTCTTGACACCTGCGGAGCATCTAAGTAAGCATTGGCGTCCACAATAAACGAATCACATGTCGAAAAGACGTCATGACGGAGTCAAACATACCAAAAATAGTCAACTCGTCCACGAGCATGGGTTCGACGTCCGCAATCGCTGGGCTGCTGTTCTCGGGAACACCCAAGCACACGAGCTTGCCCCTGAACCCGAGCCACTTCGGAGATTGCACGTAGGCCTTCTTGTTAGACGAGCACATGAGCACGATTCTCGCTCCTCCGCCCGTAATCTTCTTAATCGCTGCCGTGAGGTCCTCGTCGCTGGGGTAGGCCGTGAAGTCAACGAATTCCGTCGCCCCGAGGTCGCGGCAGAATTTCTCCTTACTGCCGATATCCATGGCCAAGACGCGGCACCCAATCACGCGGGCGTACTGGATAGCGAGATGACCGAGGCCCCCGCCGGCTCCCACGATGACAACCCAGTCGCCATGACGGGCGTCTGCGCGCTTGAGGGCTGTGTAGACGCTGATGCCGCCGCACATGAGAGGGGCGGCCTCTGCTGAGTCGAGGCCTGCGGGGATGGGAGTGACG